TACATTACTTTATAACTACTGAACACATATTGGCCTGTTTGCCAGTTGAATAAAAAATTACTTATTAAGGTTTGGAGGCCCCCTTGAAAAAGGGGCCCGGGGCGGGCCGCCCCTTCCGCCCCCCCTTAATCCGCCACTGCCCCTGTATGCATTTAAGAAAGCAATCAAAATTTTTAGTAAAGTTTATTTCTCTGGCTTGTAAGTCAGCACAAGAATTAACTCTGAAAAGTAATGTACAAGGTGTTGACAAAATTTTTTATTATAGCATGCATATTTAAATATCTTTAAATATTTCCAAAGCCAAAGCTTTTAAACATATTAAACCCTTATACTAAATGCCTTCTTTTATGTCCAAGAATCCAAAAATGAAATAAAATACCGGGTATGTTCTATAAGAAAAAATATAACTTTGGTTTGGATCTTAGTTCTGACACACCCTGTACATTTCAAAATAAAGTTAAATTATGTACATTGTTTTCCCACATATAAGTACCCATAAAATATTTTGTTTCTACATCTTTCCGATTTCGTATAACCAACCGACGCGAACGAGGTGCGCCACCCTGTATAGATACTTCCTTTCGTTTGTTGTTTCCGTACGTGTGGTGCTGGTTCGTAGAGATGAGTTCTAATGAAATTCCAAATCTCTTTACTCGCTTTTCTTTCTGCCTCAGTACTCTCATCTGTATCGTGTGATATTAAATCACGTGAGTTTTTAGGGGATCTTTTTTATGGTTCTAAATAATTTTTAAGTTTGTCAAAAAAATACATGCAGTGTGAGAAAAAAAAATGATTTTTTAATTTTCGGCAATTTTTTTAAAATACAAGACCTAAAAGGGGGTCAAATTGCTTTTAGAATTCTTACATTAACGTATTCTAATCGTACCAGGTGAGATAAGTGGAAAAAGTTAATAAATAAAAAATACGACTTTTTTTAATAAAGTATATATATCCAGAAAATTATATTTTGTGCAATATACACACATGGCCAAAATTATTGCATATAACGATATTTTTGTTTTATTTTGGACCTAATATGATTGCTTTTATATTTTTGGACATATTTGCTTACTACACGACTAACTAATATAATAAATTAAAAATCTAAGTACAACTAGGCTGCTATAATTTTTTTTCATAATGAGTGAAAATCAACAAAAACAAATATTATTTTAAACAAAAAATATTGAAAACAATTTTAATTATTTCTCACAACTAATAGTTTGTATTGCCTCCTCGAGCCTCAATGCAAGCTGTGAGGCGACGTGGCATGCTCTCAATTAAGTTGTCCAGAAGATGTTGAGAATGACATTATCGACATTATTTGAAGATGACATTATCGTCCATGTAAACAAATTCATCCCCCACTGCCCCTCGAAATGGACGCACAATTGGCTCTAAAACGTCTGTAAGATATGAGGCACCTGTCATTGTGCCATCAATAAAAACAAGAGGAGTTTGAGCTCCATGCATTATACCTGCCCATACCATAATGCTTCCTCCTTGAAACGGGACACGGGATTGAGTCTTCCAGATGCTCTCCAGAACAAAGTTCGTCGCGAGTCTGACACTAGACCTATTCTTGTTTAATCACTAAACATGACGAAATTCCAATTAGGTCCATTTGCTCTCATCTCCTCAGCCCATTGTAGTCGCTAATTTTGTGCTGTAAATTAAGCTTCGGAACACGTAGAGGCCTTCTTAAATGTAATCCTCTGTCATGGAGTCTTCTTGCTATGGGCTTTCTTGAAACATTTACTCCTTCAAGGCGAGCTAACTCATTTTTAATAGCAGTACTAGAAAGCAGGGGATTGCTTCGTGCAATTAGGGTTAGGTTTGGTTTGGTTTGATTTGGTTTGGTTTTAGGGATAATTTAATAATTAAATAATTTTTTTAGGGATATTTGACGATATACTTATGTATACAGATAAAAATCTTGTCCCAAATTCGTGGTACGAAAATTGTTTTTTATGACGATATCTGAAAGTAATTATTTTCAATTCAATAATTCGTATAAAGTAAAGCTTTGAAAAGGAAAAAAAATGCAGTTTTAGTGTTTATTGATTAATTTTCATATTTAACAAAAAAAACCTAGATTACTCTCAGGTAATTACTCTCAGATAGATTTTTTTAGGAAATTTTATGCTCTACAAGAATCCGCGATGTAATTTTTTTTATCGTAAACCGTTTTAAAGTTATGGTACTTTTAATTGAAAAAGATTTCTTTACGTGTTATTTAAATGGAAAACTTTGAATGTTCACCGACACGTTATAAAATTGAGCTAAAAATCCTGCCTTCCGTGGATATTTTTCTCTCGGTTATCAGGTTCATTTTAATCCATAAATTCCATAGGTTAGTTTATTTGGCTCATCCTAATAGGTAAGTTTTTTATTTATGCAAAAGCATAGTAAGTAAAGCAAGTAAAAACTTTGAGCCTATAATGCTCCATTAGAATAGCTGTCTATTCATCTTTGGGCATAACTATATTTTCTGTGATCTTTGTCAAAATACCAGCTTCAAAAATATGAAATATGTTCATTTAGAACATATTTCATATTTTTAGATTGTAATATATATCCTTAGAATATATGGACCGTTCTATTCCGAAATCCAGATAGGAGACGCATTTTAATTTTAATTATTCAGGTTTTTAATTTCCGTAAACTGCCATCCGCATTTCTGTCCTTTGTTCTATTTCATTTTTTTTTGTATTATTTTCCGCCACGGTTTCTTCGTCTGCTGCTGACACACCTATGTGCGATTAAATTTAGAGATTAACTGCACCAGTAAATTAATAAGTTGTAGATGTGTCTTAAATTTTAATAATTTTATAGGTGTTTATATGAAACCTAAACCATCGATATTATGTTCTATTTGTTAATTTTTTTATTCCATAAATATTTAAGTTTAAGTAGCTTAACCTCATAGTAAGCTAACCGGTATAACTTTATTATATCGAGTCCTCCCTTGTCTCCGGATAAATTTAACTATACTTATAAACCTTATGTTAGATTTTCGCCAAAAAAAATCTACCTAAAAAATTACTTATTCCGTTTTTCAAAATTTCGTATAAGATGAGTATAATACAAGAAAATGTTAAAGTATTTTCTTTATGCTGGTATAGGCATAATCTGAGGGGATCTAAACCCTATAATGGCCTACCGAAAGTGTGAGAAATTGACAATTACTCCCTGCGACCTTTTCAGATATATTGTGGTCGTCTTCTGATCCTTAGGTCACATTCCTAGTATGTATGTATGTATGTATGTAGGTCACATTCCCCAGTCCTATCCTCTTCAAAAATCTAGCAATTTGAAGGTTGAACCCTCCATATATCTCTTTCTCAATAGCCTATCATTGTATAGCCTATTATTGTATACACAAAGAATTGCACATTGACCAGGATATAGCACCGACATAAAATGTGATCTGTCGATTCTTCTTCAGATTGACAGAACCTGCATGTGGCTTTGTCCATCAATCCCATCAGCTTTAGAGGCCTATTCAGGTTACAATGTCCTGTTAGCAGATGCACTACAACTTTGATTGTCTTTCTGTCTTTGTTTATCAGGTCTGCCCCAAATTTTCGCAATGTTCTACTATGAACTTTTTCGTCTCTGTTGGACACCATGTTGGACACCCACGTTTTGTAGCCATTCTCGTGACTGCTTTTGAAACGCCGCAGAAGGGTTCTGGGCCCTTTCATCTGATTTTTTGTTATCCTTGTGATCCTTGTGACCCTCGTGCCCTAGTATCCAGGCTAACGTAACAATATATATCTAATTTCATCCGGTGTCTTAATAGATTTTAAATACCCTTGACTTGGAACAGTAGCACGTTCCAGATTTCCAGATGTCCGCACGTTCAAATATCAACATTTTCTAACTTTACTCTAACCAACTCTAAATAAAACTGAAAAGAATAATTTTTACGCTGACGAAGTTTTTTTTTAAACAAAAAAAATCGAAATCATGCTTTGTATCAGGTATACGAAACATTTAGAGCAATTATTATTGAACCTATATAGCAAAAGAGGCACATGTTGACTAATGTTTAGTTAGACTAATGTTATTAGTAACAATGGTAATCCGTTTTTCGTGAATATTTTAATGTCAAAGCAGTGGCGTAGCGACAAATTATGGGCCGCCCCGCGAAATTTGAGTTAGGCCCCCCCCGGCCTCCTCTCCTATTCCCTATTTTGGGAATAATTCTATTTTTATATTATTTTATTCCCGGACCTTAGAGGTTTCGGGTCCCCTTTAGGCCTGGGCCCCCCACAGCTGCGGGGGTTTGCGGTAGTAGCGCTACGCCACTGTGTCAAAGGGAACGGCGATAGTGTATTTATTTCTTGTAAAGCGTACTTTACAATAGAGTAGAGTACTACTGGTCGTACTTTTTTATCCTTGTAGATAAAGTAATTTCAATAAATGACATAAAAAACAAAGACTTTTTTTTAATATTACAAAGGCGCTCTTCGTTTAGTTTGATACAGTGAACGGTTTGGTTTGGTTTGGATGCGTCGATTTTAGTATTAGCGAAATGATAAAAAATGTAAAGAGATTATAATTAAATTGAGGAGTTTAGAATAAAAGTAACCAAAGTGACTTTTTGTTTTAAATGGACTTAAGTACAGATTTAGATACTTTTGTTAGATACCAATTTATTTAGTATAAAAGGAAATTAAGTAAATTCAACACTCTACTCTACTTAGTGCCATTGGAGAATTTACTTAATTCCATTTTATACAAAATAAATTGGCATTCTATTATATCTAAATCTATACTTAGAAAAAAGCCACTGGTATCTCTTTTATTCTAAGCGTCTCAATTAATCTCATATTTTCGCTAATACTAAAATCGATGCATCGTAACATTTAAACGTTTTATTTTTATCTGTAGAAGTTAGATACATTATTTTTTGACACTCTGCACCCTGTATACATACAAACAGGTGAAGCTAACAAAAGCTTGTTAAATACTTATCATGTTATGAATTTTAGGTGATGTGTTGGCTGTTAAAGCATTTTTGGAAACCAATCGCGGTTTCAATATCAATTGCGTTAATTTTCAAGGAGTATCAGCATTGTTAGTAGCAGTGCAGAATCATTCAGAGCCAATGGTAGAATTTCTTCTCACTCAACCTGGAATCGATATCGGTGATTGCGTGTTGCATGCCGTCAAAGACAACCAGAGAAAAATTTTGGAAAGCCTTTTAGAAAAACTGAGCCAAATTGCACCTAGTTTGGAATTTGTCGGTGTTACGCATAGCTCAGATTTTCCCGACTATGTTACCCCTTTGATTTTAGCATCTCAGTGTGGACATTATGAAATTATAGGTATAATACATATTATACCTTTTATATATAATGCAACATATAAACATTACATTGTATATTCTACCACAATACACCAAAAGACTTTACGTATGCACTGGATGCACGTTTCGCTAACCATGTTAGCATCATCAGCAGATAATTAAAACTAAACTAATATCTACAAATTTTTATATCGGTTATTTATTTATTTATTTAGCGTATGGCTCATATACATGCAAGAAAATCAGACTCTTAAACATAGACATAAAATAAACTACAATGTAAGTGAAAACGTTACAATGTAAATATAAAAAAAACAAGTATATGATAAAAAGACAACATAAAACACGTATTTACGAACACTATATATTAACATCTAGATGCCCTAACCATTCCAAAGTTGCTGGAGAAGTCTCCAGAAAGTCCCTCCAGTCTTCACCATAAGCGCGTAGGTTGCACTCTCTAGTTATGTGATGGATGGTTTGGTGAGGGGATCCGCAATCACATTCTGGGGAAGGTATTTTACCCTACTTATAAAGGGAATCCGCACATCTTCCATGACCAGAGCGTATCCTATTCAAAGTTGACCATGTTTTCCGGTTTAGATCGGTACCCGGTGTCTGGCAATAGTTATTTTTCAACCAGGAGTATAGATGCACTTCTCTCCATAACTGAAGCCACTGTTCTCGAGAATTGTAGTTACCGCTTTTTAGTTGTTCAGCTGTTCGCAAAGGTGGATTTCTCGACTTCAGTCTATTCACCTGTAAAGCAGGAAGTGTTTCATGAACAGGTAGCGTTGGGTTAGCTAGTATTTTATCAAATTCTCTAAGAAGAGCCTCGTTTCTGCGTAGATTTGGAGGTAGGATGTTACTCAGAACTGGAAGCCAGTGACTAGATGTGCATCTGATTGTTCCTGTAATCAGCCGCATGGTGTTGTCCAGCTGTCTGTCTACGAGATTTGTGTGGTGGCTGTTCAACAACACGGGTGCACAATATTCTGCCACACTGAATACCAGGCTAAAAGCGGAGATCCGAAGTGTTGTTGCTTTGGCACCCCAAGAAGTACCACAAAGTTTTTGTATAATGTTGTTTCGTATTCTGATTTTACCAGAACCTGAAAAATGCCTGAAAAATGAAACCTGCCTGTTCAACTGGAATATGGTCTAAGATACTATCCTTTATTCTATTGAAAATAAGTCGTTCTAGGAGCTTATAGGTACAACTGTGAAGGGCTATGGGTCGATAATTCTGTGGTTGACTTTTAGATTTTCCTGGTTTTTCCTCGTTTATATTGGTATTCAGTTGTCACTGACCAAGCGTGGCAAAACTAGCCAAGCGAGTCAAACCGACGCGACTGAGCGTAACAATTAATTTTCTAGTCCAGAGCAATAGTAACAGAGAACTGGAAGGAGTTGGACCATTATCTTTGTTTATATCGTTTTTACATTTATTAATTTTCACGCTATAAATTTACTAATGACAACATAATGTGCTTATGTTTATAACTGACATTCTTGAAAATTTTATTTAAACCACGGGATAACTCTATCAAACTACATTGAAATATATTTTAACGTATCTTTCCCCACTTGAAAAGTCGAATTTTTAGAAATCGCAAACTTAAACCTATAGTCTAGATCCCGGGGGGATCAGACATAACTTATTTTCACAAGAATGAAACCTTAGACTCTCAGTACTGCTCGCATGTGCCTTGAATACCGGCGTGTTTGTGGGGTTCGCCCTGTGACACCTTGGCAGATACCAGATGAGAGAGGTAACTAAAAATAAGAGTTACTTAACTTAAATTTGTATAGCTGATTTTTATATATACCATATTGTAGAATATTACTCTGAAGTAGTATCAAAATATTAGACACTTTCCATGGACCAGAACATTTATCAGACGCTCCACAAAAAATAAATGAACTTTACTTATTTTTACATGCCTGATTTTTACACATGTTATTAAGACAGCTATTATAACGTTATATTTAATCAATCAGACAGATTGTAATGACCAAACATCCCCTAAGAAAATATTCAGCCGTAAATATCAGCGCGAGGGTACTAATCGCATGCGTTTCAGAACGACATCCATGGTACATCGATAGTTAACTTTTGTTTGTGGAGCTTTAAATCGTCTGATAAACGTTCTGGTCCATGGAAAGTGTCTGATACTTTTGATACTACTTCAGAGTAATATTCCACAATATACAGGGTGTTCCTTAATGACATGGTAATACTTAAGGAGGTGGTTAAGATTCTTGGATCTATTCTAAGGAAAAAATTTCACATGAATGTATGTCCTAAGCATATTAATTACTTAGATACAGGGTAATAATTTTTTCTAAAAAAACTTTTTTTATAATAACTCTGATTTTATTACAGATATCTTTATTAAACTTGATACGCGCTATGCATGTTCTATACTAAGAAATAAAACAATTTTTTTTTGTATATCAAAATAGCATTTTGATGCATGAAAGACGTGTATCAAATATACCATCAGAGATATTTTGAAAAAAATAGAATTTTTTTACTAGAATAGGTACACCCTGTATATATAAAGACACCCTGTATAAAAAATCAGACATACAAAGTAACTCTTATTTTTAGGTACCCTTTTGATCTGGTATCTGCCAAGGTGTCACAGGGCAAACCCCACAAACACGCCGGTATGCAAGGCACAAGAGAGCACTACTGAGGGAGCCTAAAGCGGGGTTTCCACATGCAAGGATTACTGGCGCCACAATTAAATGGCGCCATTACCCGTTTCCACAGGTCTATAGTAAATTTAAAACTGGCATGTTATTACGGTCAGTTTTATGAGATTTTAACACCTTTTTTATGAGATTTTAACACCTTGTAACACCACTCTAGGGTGTAAGTATTCATAATACTTCGAATTTTGGCCTTTGCGGAATTTACATCAAAGTTGCTGAGAGAATCAGACATGACTCCAACAATTTTTCTTAGGGCTTCATCCCTTTTATTTCGGTCCTTATAATCACTTATTTTATTGTTCCATAAGCTAGGATGTTGTTCGTAGGCTTCCAAAAACTTTATTATTAAATTAGTAGACCACTTTTTTGAAACAAACGACATTTTTACGGGTCGGGATGCTTGCTGTATTGTTTACACACAAAACTGGCGCCAAAAAGTACAGGAGCGTTGAACTTTACTGGCACATGAATTAGTGGCGCCACTAAACTTGCGCCAGTCGATTTTACAGGTTTCCACATACAAAAAAAACTGGCGCCAGTTGAATGGCGCCCGTAATCCTTGCATGTGGAAACCCCGCTTTAGGTTTCATCCTTGTAAAAATAAGTCATGTTATGCCTGATCGCTTTGGGATCTTACTCTACGACGTTTTCTAATTATTTTATCAACTAATGAAGGAGAATATCCATTACACTCAGCTATATTCTTTCTATTTCATATATTTCGTTGGTAAGTGGAAAACTATTACTACTTTCTAATGACCAATACATCTAGAAATTAATGTTATTTTATCGTTGTTCTCAATTTCATAGGTAAATATATAATGGAAGAAAAACTACTACTTAATTTAGAAAAAAGTATATTTGTTTTTGACACACATTCCGACATTATAGATAACTTTATTTTTAGATTAAATAATAGTTTTTGTTCCATTAAATTTACCTATGAAATTGAGAAACAACGATACGATAGTTATCATACTATATTGACCTATAATTATTTTACTATATTGCAGAACTCCTTATCCAGAGAGGACACACTATTAGTAAACCCCATCCAGCAAGCTGTCGCTGTTCGGATTGTAGAATACATTTAGAAAGGGACGATCTTCTTCATGCTGAGAGTTTAAGACTGAATTTGTACCGTGCGGTTACGAACCCAGCCTATATCTGTCATTCCACACACGATCCCATTCTAATAGCCTTTCAGTTATCGGAGGAACTAAAAGAATGTTCCATGTTAGTGCCGGAATTTCGCGTGGCTTATGCCGAATTATCAAGCGAAATTAGTACTTTTGCTGTCGATTTAATTGCCTGCTGCCGAAGCACTAGCGAAATGGAACTCATTTTAAAACAATCTTCTGGAACGTCATCGCGTATTTACAGTCTTCCCAGGTTAGCATTAGCTATGGACTATAAACAGAAAACTTTCGTGGCTCATCCGAACACCCAACAAATAGTTGAAGCAGTGTGGAGCGACGATTGGCACGAGTACAAACTAAAATCTATGTTTGTCGCTTATATTTTGCCAGTTTTACGAATCTTTGTACTTCCCATTATAGCTTTGATGTGTTTAGCTCTACCCAATCACACTTTAACAAAGCACTGGAGTATACCTCTGAATAAAATGATTAGCCATATAGCAGCTTACATCGTGTTCCTCATCATAATCTTTCTAGAATCGAATATAGATAAAACGGGTCAGAAAAGGAAACCCCCGAACTCTGGATTGGAGCCGATTATTATAGTGTTTGTGGCTGGTCACGTATGGAGTAGCATAAGAATGATGATGCTCGTGGGGCCATCCAGATATTTTAAAAAATTATGGAATTGGCACGCGGTTATTAGTAACTGTCTATTTTTATTAACGTTTCTTTTTTGGCTTGCTTCATATTTTGATGCCGTTAACAATGACCAGGTAGACTTGGAACGAAAATATTGGCACCATCTGGATCCATTACTGATAGCCGAAGGCACATTTGCTGTTGCAGTTATAATGGCGTTTTTTAAGCTTATGTTTTTCTGCAGATTAAATTACTATCTGGGACCTTTGCAAATATCTTTGGGAAAAATGTGCGCCGATATGGCAAAGTATTTTACTATATTCACGATAATAATAATATCCTTTAGTGCAGGCTTATGTAGATTCTATCAGTATTATGATGGGATGGTGCAAATAGATGATAACGAGATGAAAACCCAGCAGGTATCGTCTTTTGTAGATTTCTCTTCAACTTTGAAAACATTTTTTTGGGCCATACTGTGTATGGCGCCATTGGAGAGCGCAGACGTTGTAATTGAAAACTTACCGGGAGAGACACCTAAAACAACAATTATTAACACGCACACATTTACAGAAGCTGTGGGATATATATGCTTCGCCTTATTCGAAGTTCTTATAGTAGTCATGATTTTAAACATGCTGATCGCTACGATGTCATCGACTTTTCAAAGAGTCTTAGATAATTTAGAAGTTGAATGGACTTTTGGCAAGACTGACTTTTATCTGGAGTATATGCTTCAGTCAGCTACACCATCGCCTTTTAATTTAATCCCGACACCAGGAGGAGTTACTATGTTTATGGAAATGATGAATGGTACTCGTGCCGCTGGCAATAATGAAGTAGGCGGTTGTTGCCAGAGAAAAGCAAGCCCTAAGGCATCTTTTGATAAAAATATGAATGAAATGGAATATCCAGCATTAATGTCACTTTTAGTGCAGAGATATTTTAGGGAAAAAGATGAAGCAAATCAAGCAGCGAGCGAATTAGATATTCTCAAACAAGAAATTCATGAATTGAAAGCTTTACTTAATGATATTATCGCAGAGAAGGAATAATCTAAATTTTGTTTTTTATGATATACAATCTTATTATATTATTTTTAGATATACATATATATTATATAATTTATACCTACACCTATAGTTATACATATGTAAAATGTTTATATAATATGAATTAACAAAATAATAATGCATCAATATATTTTAGTATTATCTTGTTTAAAGAATACTTATCAACAGTTTAGATTATCAAATAAATGTCATATTTTTCTATATTTTGTTTTCAAATGTTCCAGAGACACACATAAGGTACAGATGCATTAATAAAAGGTTAACTCTGTGACGATCATAACAGTAGAAATAATACAATATGATCGAATAAAAACGACGTCAGCGATGGCTATAAAATAAAGATCGTTGTCATTGTATTGGACGCCGCGCCGTTTTATTTTCGATCATACGGTACCTGCTAATTATCAAAGTATTTTAATCTCATCGCCACGTTAGTAGGTAGGTAACTGTAATTTCTTATTTAATATTTCTACACGGCTGATGCTTCTTTGAACAGTTTTTTTCCCGAAATATGTTTTAAGGTAGTTTATTTTTCTTGAGGTTTAAATTCTAGCATTGAAGACCCTTCCCCGAGCTGAACATATTAATTAATTAAAATAATAATTTAAATATAAAATAACTAAAGTTTTCCAACTTAAGAAAATAAAAATATATTAAGATGATATTGTTCAAGTCTTTTATATGATATTGTCAAGACTTAAATATAGGCCAACTTGGGTTTACATCAAATTGGGAAAAATCATGTAAAATATAATTGTAGTAAACCAATTTGATGTAGATTCAAGGGAATCGTTCACGTATACGTTGACCTGGATATGTTCTTATAATAAACATTGTTAATTAAAACAATTAAAATCAGGTCGATGTAAGCGTGATGTTTCAAGGCTAGCTCGTACTAAACATCGGTGCTGGAAATATACAAAGGAGATTTTTGAGCACGTACCCGCCGATAATTGGGACGAGCGGACAAATATAAAATGGTGTGCTGAAGACAGGGAGGAGTTAGTTAATTAGTCCGTCGATGTGAGTCGCATTGTTAGTCAGTAGTTGGCCAGTCAGAACCAGTTGAACCATGTTCCTGTAAGTACCTTTTTTGAGTGTACCATACATTGAGTCTTGGTATTTCCCAAAATTGTTATGCACTGTAAACCTTATATTTAATAAATGCATATTTTATCTAATGGTTGTTTTGATTGAGAGAGAGAACCTGGTATAGCGACCCTAGCAAACAACCCCCAGCTAGGTCGCGACAATATTTATTCAGATGTACTAATTTTTTGGACTGCTTGATGATCTACAATGACGTACTGACCGTTAGTTACTATTAAAACTTGAATATAGGCAAACTGACGGGGTTTAACTTTTTTTCCTTTTAGTTATTAATTATTTTTTACATCCAATTTTCTACTCATATCATACCTATAATTACCTCGGTAGAAAACATTCATAAACTTCAAAAATGCCTGTCTTAAATTATACGTGAATAAGTAGAAGGAAGTTTTTGGCTATTTAGCATGATCTAGGGTGGTCCGAATTGTATTCGTGAAACTTCGGCAGTATATTCTGCAAAAAAATAATATAATAATAATAATAAATTTATGTCCTAAAATGCTTCGTTTCGGAGATACAGGGTGTAGAAGCTTAATTTTTATTTCGTTTTTGTCCAAATAATTTCTGAACTACCCTCGATATTTGGATGAAATTTGGTGTTTGACTCCTACCTGTAGGGGGGCTGTACAATTGTTTTGGTTGTTTTGAAAACTAATAACTTTTCGCCAATATCTCTATTACATTACTGATTGAAAAAAATATACATTTCAGGCGAGTAATGGTTCTTAAGATATTTGGAATCGAAATAGTCAATACATGTTATAATCGATTAAAATTATACATGTTGACTGGATAGTTAATAGTCTGAAATAATAAATTTGAAATGTTTTTATGCCAAAGATTCAACAGTAACGGTTTTATCGTGTTTTGTTCTCTGAAAAAATCATGATTAACTTAAAAAATAAAAAGTTTCCAAATTTATCATTTCATTCAAATAATTAACTAGTGAACATGTTTATTTTTTGTCAATAATGACATATATATTGATTATTTCCATTCATAATATTTTAAAAACGGTTACTTGTTGCGATATTTAATAAGAAATATTTTTTACGTTAAAAATTTCGAAAATGTGCATTTTTCACTCAGTTTTATACAAATACTTACGAAAAGTTATAACCCTTCAAATCAGTTAAAAACATGTAGGTGGCGCCCCGTACAAGTAGGAGGCATATTGACATCGAAATCAAAGTTCTCATGTCAAGAAACACCCAGATTCGACTATAGTTTAGAATTTTTTTGGAAAATAAAATGAAAAACGAAATAAAAATTAAATTTCTACTCTGTATCTTCGAAACGAAGAATTTTAGTACATACATTTTTTACTAGGTATACGAACTTTTTTACTTATATATATCTGGAGAATAAGATGTCGAAGTTTCTCGAATACAATTCAGACCACCCTGTATTTTGATTTATTAGGTCCAAGTTTGTTTTATACGGCTATTAATCACTCACCATTGACAATGCGTCTTTTTATTTTCTTAAAGGTATTGTATAACGGTATGTTCAATATATGATATTTGATTTCTTGTATATTTTTTCAGAAATGTTGGCAAATAGTAAAGTTTATTTTGGCTATATATTTTAAAAATGTTTAAGGATTCGAAATAGAATATACAGGGTGAGTCCTAAATAAGTGCAAATATTTTAGGGGTATCATATTTCGACCCAGGATTATGAGGTTTTTTTCGCGAAAAAATTCTGAAAATTTTAAATTTTTTGAAAAAAAGATTTGGAAATGTTTTCAGTTAAAAAATATAATTTGTTGATAATATGGCAATATAGGTAGTACATTAAATTTACAAGAAAGAAAATCCAGAAAAGATACATTGGTTCTCAAAATTTAAGCAAAAAATCATTTGTTTTTAAATTTTCAAAGTAAAATATCTCTGTTATTTTAGATTTATTTGAGAAACGGATAATTTTTTCGCGAAAAAAAATCTCATAATCATGTTCCTGGGTCGAAATATATACCCCTAAATTATTTGTCCTTATTTTTAAGACTCCCCCTGTATATTGATAAAGTTAATACGGTTTTGCAATTAAGACATATAAGGACGAATTTATTATAATACTTTATTAATTATTATAATAAAGTTTAATTAAGCTTACGTTAACAAAGCAAAAAAATTAAAAACCGTATTGTCACTAGGTGCATTTTTTCTATACAGTTTGTTTTTTGGTTCATCTCAATAGCTTTATTTTTGTTGGAAGTATTTGCTTTTGAAGAAGACACTAATATTTTTTCGTAATTTTTATTCTGATAATGAAATTTTAGAGTTACCTTAGTTTGGGGCGAAATTGATAATTACATGGTTTACTCACATTTTTAAATTTAGCGCCAAATTTATGCAACTAGAAGCAGTAGTGTGCATCAGTCTTGTTTAGTAAAGCTTTGATGACAAGACGTATGCAGTCGGGTGTGCCATTTTTTATCTATTTTTTGCAAAAAACGCGGTTAAAATTTTAATTTCAGTTAATTAATTTTGACCGCGTTTTTTGCAAAAAATAGATAAAAACTGGCACATCCGACTGCATACGTCTTGTCATCAAAGCTTTACTAAACAAGACTGATGCACACCACTGCTTCTAGTTGCATAAATTTGGCGCTAAATTTAAAAATGTGACTAAACCATGTAATTATCAATTTCACCTCCGGTTATCAATTTCGCCCCAAACTACGGTACCGATTAAATGAAGGAAAGCAAACAGATATAATAAGAAAATTTGACATGTCAGAGAGGATTTAGATCAGGGCTTTTGATCTCTACCATTTTCAATTAAAGCAAATATAGCGGATACACCTTCTGGACTTAAAACCCTCTCTGCAAGAGTAACTGCGCCACAGACGATAATAAAATTATGTTTCTATGATAGTGACATTACATAAATTATAAACACTGTTTACAGGTTTCAGATTTGTTGCTTAGGACCAAAAGCAAAGGCATGGTTTGAATGAAAACATTACGTAAACATGTTACTATCTTCTCCAGCGAATATCTCCAAAAAAAAATATAGCTATTGAGATTAACCAAAACACCAAACTATCGAGATAAGATGCGCCTATATGGTAAATTGATTTTTAAATTTCTTGCTTTGTTAACATATTTGATAAGGTTTTCAAACATTCACCAAAATATCAACATTTTTTTCTTTCGGACACTTGACAGATGGGAACTTTTATTTTTAATCAGAGACATGACAGAGATACCAAAAATTTTCAAATAATTTCGCTACAAATTGCTTAAAAAATTATCAAAAGCGGTCCGTTAGACCACAATATATAAAACTTTAAAATACATCAAAATATTAAGGTGGCCGTTTTTCGTGGCGTTGAGTGTATTTATGAGACAGTTAAATAGATAATGAGGTAAAATTTATTTTTTTGGTATAGTTTTATTATTGTTCTACTTTAATAGTTTTCACGACATATTAAAATTGTTATATATTATTGATACGTAGTTTAATAATCTCTAAAAATTGAAAATTTCATGCTAGGACATAGTAAAATATATGCTCTAAAATATTATTTCAAGTTCGTTTATATTTTCTTTGGATAATGATCAACATGATTTATTTATATTTCATGAAACATAATTAATCAGGTCATGATACTCAGGTTATAATATTATTACATTATACTATTGTGGTTCCACTTTTACTAACGCTTTTAGTTGTACAGATGTAATGTTAATTAAAAAACATCTTGTAAATAGAAGTCCGCGAATCGTTTTATCTCCAAATATTTTTTCCAGTTTCAGATTTATAGAGGGGCTGTGCCACAACGCAGTCTACAGGCCATATTTTTTTTTCAAAATTATCAATATACACTGCAATTCTAGCTTCTAGCGATGTCATAATAAAACAAAAATGTTGTTTTTACTGTTTAATTTAATTGGTAGTGGTTAACATTATCTAACATATAAATATATTTTTATAACATGTTGTTTTAATTTTAACAGCATCCAGTACCTGTATTAGCCATAGGTGAAAATCCCCCACCCAAGTAGCATTTTTGGACACATTTTAGGTAACGTTTCTAATAATTGTGTCTCTATTTCTTGACACAAAATGGAAACGGCATACCACAAATACGAAACGTTTTTGAAACCTATAAAT